GAAATAGAAATAGAAATAGAAATACAAGTGAGGCTTCAGTTACGTAGGTGAGGCTGCCATCTTGATATTTTTTTTTTTTTTTTTGGATGTTCTATCTACAGTCTCCACTGATCCAGAGTAAGTGGTCCTGGGGACACCTGTTTTCCTTAACACAATCTTTGATCTTTGTCAAAGGAAAGTTTGCATGCTCACCATTTCACCTTTAAGACGGATGCCAACCAGCATTTTTAAAATTATAGAAAACTCTGCTTCCTATCCCAGATGCCTTTGAAAGCACCCTCTTGGCTCAAGCTAACTCCAATGCCCTTTCCTCTGCAAGAATGGTGCCCAGATCAGCTTCACAGACAGGTAAAAAGAAATCAGAGTAATCTTTTTTGAGATCAGATGCTCATATGCACTTGAGAATATCTTTGGAGAGAGAAAAAAAAAAAAGATCTGGTACGGAGAAAATTTATCTGGGTTATGAAATGGACTGGAGCTCTTTTACATAAAGACCTAGATTCTTAAACATGCCCTCCACACTTGACTGGGGTTTGTGCCAGAACAGACTTGATTGATTAAAGCATGAAAATCATTTTTTTTAATTTCCTCTTGACCACCTAAACTTTTTTCTTTCTACCATCGACTTCAGTTGTATTCTATTTGTCCATCCTCTTCTTTTCTTTCGCCTCATTTTGAAAATCTTCAGAGTGTTGATTTACCTACGCTGCTCCCTGAGTCGAGTTGATTCCTGGTGATTTCATGGATATAGTGCAGTTTTCTTGGCAAAGCTGCTGAAATTGTTGGCTATTGTCTTCTTCTGGGATGTCTCTTTTCCCAACTTCCCAGGGATGCCCACAGTCTCCGGCACCATCTGGAAGTCCCCCACTCAACTAGCCAAGCCCCCAAAAAGGTCAAGCAGAAGTGGTCCCTTTCAGAACACACCTCATGCATTGCTGATATTCTCACCATGTTGTCATGATTAAAAGACTCCAGAGAAGGTCTCTACTCCAGTGGTTTGAGTCCTACCACCGCTTGACGGAGTGAGCTCCCGCCACTTGCCTCAGCTTCTGCCAACCCAGCAGTTCGAAAGCACGTAAATGCAAGTAGATAAATAGGTACCACTCGGTGGGAAGCTCACAGTGTTCTGTGTTTCACCGTACACTTTACACTGCGGCATGACAACATGCTGGCCTCATGATTGTGGAAATGTCTTTGAACAGTGCGGGCTCACTGGCTTAAAGAAATGGGGATGAGAACTGTCTCCTAAAGTCAGCTATGACTAGTAAAACCCACAGGGATTCCTTTATTATTGTCTTGATTATGACTTTTCAGAAGAAATACCTGTTTTGATTGTGATGCAGCAATCTCCAATAAAGTGATGTTCTCCAGGTGTGTTTAGCCGTCTAACTGAGCCAGTGGTAAAATTCAACATTTTACTACTGGTTCTGTGGGCGAGGCANTAATAAATCACTTCTGTTTTAGTGATCTTTAAATGTTCTGAGTTCCATAGAAATTGTCATCAGAGACTGACCCCTCCTACAGAGCTGTTCGGCACCATTTTCTGTGTATTTCTAGCAAGTAAATTGTCAGAAGGAATTCTTTAAAAAAATGGAGTTAAAGATTTATACATACAATCACCAGTATTAGTTCTGCCTGCTTTGAAATCAGTAGTAAATCAGTCTTTGAGCTGAGGGTGGACGTGTGCCTTTTTTCTGCAAAAAAGGCAGAAGAGGTCCTTGATGCGAAGAAATCACTACGTTTGCCAGGTGGCTCCCACTTCCCATCCCAGATGTATGTTCTGGGGGGGTTAATTGGAGCACTGCCCAAATATAGCTTGCTCACCTTCTTCTCCTTGGCCCAGAGAAGAGGTAATCAAACTGCCAAACAGTTGATGGATACTGTTTAGACAGTTTAACGCAGCCAAGAATCCAGAGCTGTTAAAACAACAACCCTCTCAGGCCCCGCCCAACCAGAAGCCAGTGGAGCAAGTTGAATTTCTGATGAAATTTGAGATTTTTAAGTTGCAAAACATAACTCCAACCATACTGTTTTGCACCTTTTTAAACACCAAAAATCAAGTTTTTCACTAGATTTTAAAAGGCAAATAAATTCTCTATTTACTGCTGAAGTAGAATTTTGAAGGAATGGTAGACCATCAGTTGTATATCATTCATTTGAAGCAGGATTGAGGAATGTTCTTGTGACTGGGGATCACTCTTACATTTTCTAAGATTGTCACATTCTCAAATTTAAATGCTTTTTAACTATGAAATTTGCATGTAAACAAAATAAGACTTTTTTTGCATTAAGGAAGTGATTCCCTAACATATGAGTATTTTGCCATTCAATTATTTTCCATATGCTCAGATGCAGTTGTATCAATTGAATTTCCATTCTGAGGGAAAAGTATGATAGTTTGTCCTTAAAGGGAGGAAGGAGGGAGGAAAGAATTGATACTTATTTATTTATTAAATTTGTTTCCAGCCCATCTGGCAGATAAGAGAGAAAAGGAGGGAGAGGGAGATTATTTTTAAAAATATTAATTCTAGGAAAGTATGAGCAAGTTGAAGAAATTGGTTCATTCTGTTTCTCTAAAAATTAGCATATATATGATTTAAATAAATGATTACATGCATTTATGCATCTATATAATTTTATTTGGTAGATCTGTTTTTCTATTTATATGTATTATGTGAAATCATTTGAGTGTGAAGTTAAACTACCTTGACTATTCTTTCAGAATAGAAAAACAGAAGACAATTGTTAAAAAGTACACAAAATGTGAAGCAGTCTGAGTTAATTTCAATTGGAAGTTCCTAGAAAATGCTATGCCTTCTTCCTACTCTTTCTTTTCCTTGAGTATGATAAAGCGGTGAACCACAATTGAGCCCAAAATTTCTGTTGCTAGGTAAAGAAGACAGCTGTTCAGTGAGTTTGCCTCATTTTACATCCTTTATTGCCACTGTTGTTAAGTGAATCACTGAGATTGTTATGTTAGTAACACTGTTGTAAAGTGAATCTGGCTTCCCCATTAACTTTGCTCATCAGAAGGTCGCAAAAGCTATTCATATGACCCAGGGACACTGCATCATCATAAATATGAACTAGTTGCCCAGTGTCTGAACATTCATCATATGACCATGGAGTCACTTTTTTCAAATGGCTACAATCTTTAAATGAATGGTAGTAAGTCAAACATTTATCTGTACTGCCAAATCTGTACTGCTTCATCTCCATTTCTTTATAGCAATGATGGCTAACAATTTTGTGCCAAGTGAGCGTGCACATATACCCATAATGCAATGCATGAGGGGGTCCATGTGCCTGCTCCCCATGGGTGTGCAACCCTCCATGCACATACTGACTCCGTGCATGCATGCACCACCCCTGTACGTGCACATGTGACCTGCACACTTCACCCCTATGCATGCGTGAACACCCACCACCCGTGTGTGACCCACACATGCACCTCGTTGCCCCGGGCATGCATGGCAGCGACCCAAAAATCAGCTGTCTGGCAGGAAGTGTGTGCACATGCACAGTGCAACTGAGCTGGGGTCACAGCTCGTGTGCCCACAGAGAAGACTCTGCATGCCACCTGGGCACGCGTTCCATGGCTCTATAGCTTTCCAGGGGAATCCCTTGAGATTACTTTTCTTTAGTACATTTGTATATTATAGTAATGGATTGTTGAAAGAATCTGGAAAGTGAATCTGGAAAATGTTCATAAAAATTGATTTCCTCATGAGAAAACTCATTTAACCAACGTAAAATAACTTCACTTCCCAAACTGACTTTATTAAATTTATTGTGCAGTGCTGTGGCAAATACACATGATTACATCAATGCTCCATGTCATCTGTTTCAAAAAGCTACTTTTTGTACAATAAAATTTTAATTAACAAAAAACAGAGACAGGTCTCTAGATTGTATCACAAGCTGTGTTTGAAAGTCACCTCTGATATAGTTTATCATCTGGAATGTGGGGAGAGCTGTAATAAACTTGCTGTATGAAAAACTCAGCCTCACCCCTCTCCTGCCTTTAGATTTGCAGAATAGAATTCTATAGTATTAGACTAGTCACATTCAGATGTGACTGATTCTCAAATTAAGTTGAGCTAATTGTGACATGGCAAATGTCCAAATCCAAATCAGATTAATTAATAAAAATCATTGATTTCTGAAACAGATAATGCTTCAAATATTTCTTTTAAAGAAAAAAATGCCAGCAAAGAATGGGTTAATTACTCCCCACCAAAGTGGAATGAGAAAAGAGTGGAAATGTTCCAGTTGGTAATCCAAGCTGAATTATATTTATTTGGATCCAGAGTCATTTTTTAAAAATTAGTCTATTCAGTTGCAGGGCTTTGCAGAAGAAATGTTAAAATTATATATCATTGAAATTGCAGCTCAGTGTTACTATAAGTTTGATTCTTTTTGTGATAGAGTGGCTCAATTGTCCTTAAAATAATCAGTCTGCCCCACTCTTGAAAAAGCAACTTCCTAGATCTTAGAATTCATGACAAATACTATCCAATCATAAAAATTATTCTAAGAAACCCTGATGCTTTTGAGCAGTGGAAGCACAAAGCACATGTTGACTCTATAATTCTTTGCTCTACTACAAAGGTGTCAAACTCAAGGCCCATGGGCCAGATCGGGACAATCATTGGCATTCTTCAGTCTCAAAAGTCTATGATATCGTGCTCTGGAAAGAGTTCCTAAAACAGCATCTGGTGTGACTAAAAAGCCCAATTCAAGAGTGGCAGTCCCTTCCATACTGAGGGCAGATACATTCTGTCCCCTACCCAGCCCTCTGATTTTCCTGGTTCCAGGACTGCCCCTTTGCCTTGGTCTGCCAAACAAGTGTCATGCTGGTTTTTAAGCCTCTAAACTGAACGATCAGAGGCCAAGGTTTCCCAGCTGTTAATGTCCATTCCCAAGGCCTTTAAATCCCTCTTGCAGATATCCTTGTATCACAGCTGTGGTCTCCCTCTGGGGCGCTTTCTTTGCACTAATTCTCCATATAGGAAATCTTTTGGGATCTGACCATCAGCCATTCTCATGACATGCCCAAGCCAACGTAGATGTCACTGTTTCAATAGTTTATATATGCTAGAAATTCTAGCACGTTCCAAGACTGCACTATTTGGAACTTTGTCATGCCAGGTGATGCCAAGAACGCGTCAGAGACAGCGCATATGAAAGCAATAGCAATAGCAGTTAGATTTATATACCGCTTCATAGGGCTTTCAGCCCTCTCTAAGCGGTTTACAGAGTCAGCATATTGCCCCCAACAACAATCCGGGTCCTCATTTTACCCACCTCGGAAGGATGGAAGGCTGAGTCAACCCTGAGCCGGTGAGATTTGAACCGCTGAACTGCTGAACTAGCAGTCAGCTGAAGTGGCCTGCAGTACTGCACTCTACCCACTGCGCCACCTCGAAGATGTTTAACTTTCTCTCATGCTGTGCATAAAGGGTCCAGGACTCACTGCAGTGCAGGAGTCTGCTTAGGACACAGGGGCTATAGTCCTGGATCTTTGTATGTTCCATCAGCTTCTTATTAAGCTACTGGCGCACAAGAAAAAATGCTGGCCCTTTTAGATTCGGGATGCACACGTTGCCTTGTTAGCCCCGAAGTAGTGGAAAAAATGGGTTTAAAACTAAAAGCTCTAAAAGTCCCGATTGCTTTTTGCCAGTTGGATGGCTCAATTGTTGGGGGGGGAGCCCTGCTCATTTTGTAACTGAACCAATTGACATGTGGATGGGAACCCACCAAGAGACAATAAGTTTTATTGTGGCTCCAGGGATGGACCGGCCTCTTATATTAGGTTTGCCCTGGCTGCGGAAATGGAACCCACACATCAATTGGAGGAAGGATGGTTACGCATCTGATCTGCTACACTCCCTGAGGGAGAAGGGGGGCTCCCAAACAGAGTAACACAAACCCCAACCTGGCAGCCAGGGGCCAAGAAAAAATTGAGTGGGAGGAGAAAATCCCAAAAGAGTATTGGGACCTGAAAGATGTTTTCAGTGAAAAGTCATCTAATAAATTACCCTCACACCGTGCAACTGACTGCAGCATTGATATTCTCCCTGGGGTAAAACTGCCAAAGCCTCAGATTTATTCAATGACCCCCGGGGAAATGGATGAATTAAGGAAATTTATTGACAAAAATTTAAAGAGGGGTTTCATTGAGCCTGCTAGGCCCCGAATGGCTGCTCCAGTTTTGTTCAGAGAAAAGAAAGATGGCTTCTTTCATCTCGTTGTTAACTATAAAAATTTGAATGCTATCTGTGTTCAGAATCTCTACCCATTACCGTTAATGAAGGACACACTGGCCCAGTTGGGTAAAGGGAAATTTTTCACAAAATTAGACCTACGAGAGGCCTATTACAGAGTCAGAATTAAAGAGGGAGATGAATGGAAAATGGCG